TTTTACTCTTTAAAATAAAAAAAAGATATATTGGTTTCAAAGCAAGACTTGTTTTAGATTTGAAATTAAAATATGAGAAGAAATTATTTATGGCATAAAACATAAATGTCATGTTTGAGATTTAGCCCATTTTTCTCTCTCCTGTTCTGGCTAAAGTAGCTGGCAAGCCAGTAAAACATTATTTTACTCTCAGAAAAGTCATGTCAATTTTTCTGAAATTCATGTTGGAATACTGTATACAATCTATGAAGAAACAGATGATGAAATCTTCAATGCATGAAAATGTTAAATAACATAGATTTCTAGGGAAGTTGCTTTATAATGTAACACAATGATTCCATTGTTTGATTTTACTATAAAATTTGTTATAAAATCAGTGCACTGTTTATGTAATTGTGGAATTACAAAAGACAATAAATGAAAAAGGCAGATTCCTTCCCTTTTGTGTATGAATGATGAAAATATAGGTAAAGAAACTGAACTGTTGTATAAGTAATTGCCCTGTGATAGGAAGCAGCAATTCCATTGGCCTCACTTTACCCACCATTCCTCCAATGCTAAGTGAAAGATGACCTATGTAATCACCAGGCTGGTAAGGAAGAGGTGGACATGTGCGGCTCAGCACTCTTCCCCTCCAGCTTTCTTCCTCAATCTCTTCACCCCTCTCCACTTCCACATAGAGATATGGGCTTGAATGGGTATACGGACATACAAACATACATTACACTATGCCATACATCTGACGCAAGGTATATATGCATGAGTAAACATACATATTTTATTTTAATCTCTCTCTTACTCTTTTATTTTTTTCTCAATTTGTCTTTCCATCTCTTTCTTATCCTTTTCTTTCACTATCTCTTAATCTCTCTCTTTCATACACAACTACACAAAACATGCATTTTCTACCCTTCCTTTAATGCCTTTACTTCTAAGAGGAATATCTAGGGATTTCCAACTATGTTAAATAACAAAGCAACTCAATCTGTTACATTCGAACACATAAGCAGTAGTCCTATCTCTCTATACACCTCAGCCTACCTATTGTTTCACATTGTTTACTCTAAAACTTCCATCTTTCTTCATTCTCAAAAAATAGGTGCTAACAGAAAAAGCTTTTCACATATACCTATCACATCTACCAGTCTATCTGTACCATATATGTGGTTTTCCCTACTGCTGTTATACAGTAGAAGAGAACTGTTTGAGTTCCATCCTAACACAACATCCTTAGCTATCTATGAGATCCTAGATCTTCTCATGTACCAGGAAAGTCTCTTCCCCAAGACTGTCTTGCATACATACATAATTTTCCCACTTAACTAAATACATTTCATAATGATGCACATATTTTCCAGTTGAAAAGACAAATGCTGTCTGCATCCACTGAAGAATTGTCTCTGTTAATTGTGCCTCTACTTCCTTTACTCCCTTTTTTTTTTTTTGGTCTTCTTGAGACAAGGCCTCACTGTGCAGTTCAGGATGGCCTTGAGTTCACTTCACAGCCTAGGCTGGTCTCGAACTCGCAAGGATCCTCCTTCCTCAGCTTCCCTAGTGCTGGGATTACAGGCAAGTGCCACCACCCCTAGCTGTTGCTCCCATTCTTTTAAATCAACCCCAACATTCTCTGTCCTCAATGCCATCTAACTGAGATAGCAAATGGTGTGCATCATTACTTGTCTATCACTGTCATAACAGTTAAACTTAATGGCTTCTCACTTTACAGTCCTCTATGTTGGGCATCAACACAAGCTCACTGAGCTCAGGTCAAGGTCCTGGCAGACTGCGCTCCTGCCTGGAGTCTCTAGGGAAGAAAGCCCTTGCTCACTGAAGTTGTTGGCAAAATTTTATTTGAATACTAAGAAATTACTTCTAGGATACACAGCATTTTTTATTCTTAGAAATGAAGAAGCAGTTTGGGGAATGATTATAAGCATGAAGTCAGACAGAAAAGAGGAAAGATGCTATTTTACATGCTTTTGTATCCACAGATATTTCACTGTTTGATCATCTACCTAATTCTAATGTACTATTCCTACTCCTAAAAATAGAAAAGCAAAACAAAGTAGTACTTGTCCAATAGCTTGTGGGAAAATCTTTGAAGCTGAAGTTTTAAGTCTTTATAAATTTTCTTTAAGAGATAATGTAACCACTATTACAAAACTCACATGACAACCATTGCTAAAATTTCCAATACATATAATATACCATGCCACTGATGCTTATTTTTAAAAGCACTTTTAAAAAATCACATTTAGCAGAACAATATGGATGTCCAAATTTTCCAATAATTTTTATTCTGATTAGTGTACCTATGAATCAGCTTCTTGCTGCTCTGTCATCAATTACTAAGTATTTTCTCCTCACAGTTAACTTGGCTAGACAAAAATAAAATATTCTAACCAATTCCACCCTGGGAGTATCCTGTTCTTTTGAGTTAGGGACCTAGTGGCTGGGAGTTGCCTGTTTATTTTTTCTATTTATTACTACAAAATTAGATAAAATGATCTATTTGTATTTCCTTGGAAAAGAGATTAAGGGTAAGAAAAAAGCAAGACAAACTTTTTTGTTTTTTAATCCACTCCTTAAAGAAAATTCGCTCTCCAATGTTAATAATTTTTTCTGAGATAATTAAAGTACATGGCAAGTATCTCTTATTACATATAAGAGGAAAAAAATGTATTTGTGGTTTTCTTCTCTTGGTTCCCTTGTAGGAAAAAACAGTTCTGACTACCCCATAGCCCATGATGCCAAAACTGTTACATGTCAGCGTAAGAACTGCTGTTTGTGAATCTGTCCACCATAATAGTTAATAAAATCTGAAAACAAACACACAGAAAAAATAAAAACAAACAAAACAGGAATGTGTGCCTTGGAGTTCTACTCAAAATGGTTGAAGTATTTAAATAAATATTTCCGAAATTAAATTCTGGACAAAAGAGTAACAAATATTTGGTGTCTTCTCTAAGCAAGTCATTATAGTAAAACCTCACCTTCGTGTGGTTAAATGTTCACACAATCTCAACAGCCTGGAAAAAGTCTGCCGGAACAGCACAGCTGTACCTAGCATCGCCTACTAAAGGCCACACAGTAATTCCTGCCGACTTGGTGAGAGGGGTTGTCACTATGCTTACTTATTTATGTGAGGGCCCAAGTATGTTTGCTTTTGCCAGTACATAAAATTAAATTACCTGTAAAATATTTATATGATGCTACTCCACTGGACTGGATTTCCTTGCTTTATTAGGAAAATGAGAAATTCAAGGGGAAAAATTTTAAATAAAAAAAAAAAGTAACCTAAGAACAAAATATAACTGTCAAACATGTGTGCTCTAGAACTCATGCGCAGGGAAAATGCTTGAAGTCTCCTACAGAAGCCACTTGCCTTTATTCAAGCTATTCTAACAAAGCCAGTTATCTCAGTCCCAGCCTTGTGAAAATTAAGAGAAAAGCAGAATGCTGTAGGAAGAGAAAAGGAAAAAACAAAAAGTGATGACTTTAAGTCAACTAAACTTTTTAGTGAAAAGTATTTATTTATAATATCAAGAACATGTTGCTTAAAATTTTTCTTTTAAATAAAATCTATGTTCACCTTTAAAGATCATTCCTTCAAATTATCAGAGACTATCAAGATAAAAGAATAGAACTATGCCCATAGAGTGAACTTGATTAAAATACAGAAAAGCAAGTCTTCCAAATAGAGAAAAACGTTCCTGCTGCCTACTGCACAGCCCCTCACTGGACACCATTAGAACTTCAAATGAAGTATAAGCAGAGAAGTCTGTCTTACTAAAATAGAAACAAAATACAGTAAATCCTCAGTCATACTGGTAACAACTAAATGGGAAACTAAAGATAAGACAAAATATAAAAAGTAAAGGGTAATAAGAGAGTAATGATAGAATAGGTCTTGGACAGAAATGTAACTAAAAAATAGAAAAAATATTTTTAAAATTTGTAATTCCTATTCTAGTTAGAACTTAAAAGAATATACATGTGAAACTAGACTAGACATCATAAAGTCTTAGTTGGGACATGGCTGCAAAAATAGTCCTATTTATTCCTAAATGTAAAGCTGCGAGAGAAGCAACCAAGAAGAGATTTTAAAGTTCAAAAAACAAAATAGATTCCCTAGAGAATATCTCCAGAAATACAAAAAAAGTGACTAGATTATTCTACTTTTACACTAATCAACCATTAATACTCTCAATCTTTGTTAACTTTCACAAAATATAAAACTTCTTTTAGAGACAAATAGAACAGATTTTTTTTCACATGTCAACTTATTCCTATAAAAGATAACACATAGACAAAAGTACTTTTCTATCGTTAAATATCTTAGAAAAAATTCTATCTATTTTAATCAAGAGCAAACAGTGAATCAAATAAACAGTCTTTGAAACAGGGTTGGTGGTAAGTCTAGTAAATAATGATCCCAATGTATATTGAAAACACACACTTCTTATTTTTTCCTCATTTCCAAGTTTTGCTGTCTTTTTCTTTCAAGAGAGCTGTGAGTACATCTAGAGTGTGTATCCTTTCAGAGAGGAAGATGAGTAGAACACAGGCCATACCATTCCTACAATCAGGGAATGCCCTGCTCCCACAGTCTCAGCTATTCATCTGGATCCTATTGTGATGGGTGGTATATGTAAATACTGGGGTAAGATGAAGAAGCCAGAGGAGCCACAAGATTCACATTGGAAAGAAAATGAGAATTAATGTTCAGCTCTAGTCTGACGTACACTTCACAACACTACTTTACATGCTAAACTAAACTTCACTAGGGAGGACAAGTGTGGGAAGCCACTTCGATTATTAAAATGATCCAGGCAAGTAACAAGTAAAGACAGAGTTTGTCAAATGTAAAAAGTGCAATGCAGAAAAATAAAACTGAATATATCAGATTATTCATTTATATTTGTTGAGTACTCTTTGAAATTATAGCACAAGCTTCATCAAAAGATCTATATTTTGAATTTTAAACCTACTGGGCCTACCTGTAGTTCTTTGTATCTATCTTGAAAGGAAATGGCTTCTTGATCTTTTTCTTTTAGAAAGTCTTTTTCTAAAATATCATGCTTTTCCATCAATGATTCTACATCCTAAAAGAAAAATCCAAACATGAACTCAGTAACATTTCATCAGAAAAAATAGTTTTTTCGGGGCTGGGGATTTAGCTCAGCGGCACAGCGCCTGCCTGGCAAGCATGACATCATGAGTTTGATTTCTGGTACCGGAAAAAAAACAAAACCAAAAAATAAAAAGAAAGAAAGAGTTTTTTCAATGACCATAGAAAGAATCTGTCTGTAAAATAACCCATAGAAAGCATGGTAAAACTCTAACAATATTAAAAATGGTACATTTTAACAATATCAAACATCATTATAACACTAAAACTATTCTAATGAACGAATAAGAGCATCTCAACTAATTTCAATAAGCAAAGTCAATCTTTACATACTTCCTATAAATTTGCTAGGATATACTACATATGTACCTTAGGTAATTTACTAAAATGGCTGTATGCATATCTAAGTACTCTGATCAAATATTCACAAATGGTGCCTGACTTTCCCAAAAGTTCATGTTATACAACTTGAAATTTGTACAAGAAATACAATTCTGCCACCACTCAAAGTAAATAAACCAGAAAGAAAAGCATTATTTAGAGAAAAACAAAAAACATAGTAAAAGTTGCTCATCTCTTTAAAGTATATATAGATACCTCAAAATCTACAGGAGTTTGGTCAGGATTCCTGCTGACATCGAAATCCAAAGATGCACAAATCCCTTTTTTAAAATGGAAAACTATTTGCATATAAAATAAGTATATCCTGCCAACTACATTAAATCACCTTTAGATTTGTACTGTTTATGGTAAAATGACAATAACAAAAGCTCTTTATTAGTCAGTACACAGGTTTCTTATGCCCCCAAATATTTTGAGCCCACAGATGCAGAAGCATGTGTGTGGAACCCTGAATATGAAGGACTGACTGCCATACTTAAGATGAGAAATTTCCTATCAGACTTTGCCAGGTAATATGCTGCTGTGACTCACTCAGATGTACTACATCAAAGGGAAGCTCTGAGTATCTTCTGATGAGTTCTTACTCACGATTTTGGATTATATCGAATTTCCAGTATACACAATTCAAACATTTCTTAGGTAAATGTTAACGTGCCTTTTTAATCCTCTGTTTTTCTTCTTCAGACATTTTGAGTTTCATCTCCAGATCTGAAACTTTTTGCTGAAGCTGTATGTTTGACACATTGGTTGCAAGATCTTCACAATCATCCACAAGAGAGACTGTTCCATTACTTGTCTCATCCGATAAAGCCAGTGGAAAAAGTGGGATATCTAGATGTGTGTTTATTGACTGCTGAACCTAAACCACATTGAAAAACAAACATACACATAAGACAGAAGAAGGTTTATACTATCCCAAGAATAAAAATGGCCAAAGGGTATCAAAACCACATTTGAAAATTAAGTTGCAGCAAAAGTTCCAAAATTATCTCCCCTTTTAAGCAAATCAACAGAAGACCTTAAAAGTTATAATAACCTGATCTTTGCAATAAGAAATAAAATTTTCTCTGAATTTTGAAGTCGAAACTTAGTATTTATGTTTCTAACAATGTACTAATTGAAAACTTTTTTCTTATGCTTAAAAGTGTACAATAAAGTATAAACACATTTGATGCATACAGTTCTTAAATTTACAGAATCTGTTTGCATTCTAAACTGTAATGAATTTGAAATTCATCAATGACCTCTAAATGCTGATCACTTTCTAGAAAACTTAACAAGTTACTTAAATTATATATAACACTTGTGAAGTCCAGCATTGGAAATCCAACTCCAGCACCTGACTCTATGACTGCTCTGCTTTGATTTCGGCCTAACTGAAATAGTTAACTCTATTACCTAAAACATGTTAACGTTTTCTAAAAAGAAAAGTAATTATTCTTTATTATAATTACTTCCCCTTTTGAATTTCATGTATTGAAATCTGAAAGCTAGCTCATTTATAATAAATGAATCAAATCATATTCTGGTAACTAAAACAAAGTGAATACTTTGCAATTGTGCCACAAAAAATTTTTTTCCAATTTTTTTAATTCTAAGCATGAACATCGTTTATTGTAGAAATATCAGAATAATTTTTTTAAAAATTCTATAAGCATCAATTAAAACTCAGTATGCAATTTTTATGTTTATGAACTTCCCATATAAATATTTTTCTCCTTACCTGTGCTTTTGGAACAGTGTGGCTCCCGATGCTGCTGTCCGTGTGCACATTGTCTGGTGAGGAAAGAATGGCATCAGGAGAAAGGCAGCTCGCAGAAGATGAGTGCTCATGGTCCAACACAAGCTCAGGAGACACTGGCGACAGGTGGACTCCAGACACTAAAGGACAACACAGAGGACAGGACTACTAAGGAAAACAAGATGGGTGAATGGAAGAAAGTAGACGCAGAGACAGGGATGAAGGAAAAGCAATGAGAGTGAAAATCAGGAAGTTAAGACTGTGCTTTGAAGATGGTTATCTAAAATCTAAACCTAGAATTTGCAGGCTTAAAAGGACACATCTGACACCTCACCCAGCCAAGCAGTTTTATAATGTCTTTATGTTTCTATACTAAAACAATGCTATACAATGCGTATTTCTAACTCAGAGAAAATATTCACATATTATACATTCATTCATTTAGTTCAGAAAAATTCATTTAATTAAGAAGAAAACCAGAGCATTAAAGTGCCTGCTAGCACCAGGCACAGGCACAAGGGGAGACACATGTGAACAGGAAAGATCACTCCTGCACTTGACAATCTCCTGAGCCAGCAGGGAAGTCAGCCAAGCAGACTCCAAGCACAGTGACGTGCATAAGGAGGAGGAATAGATCTTATTTCTCTGTATTAATTCTTTGGTAACAATTTTTCATGGTAAGGCTGGACTTTTTCTTCAGAAAAATGTAGAAATAAAATTTTGCAAAAAGTTTCATAACAAACTATCATCTTACTGTGATTAGGATTCAAATAAGAGTTCATAAAACCGAAGTCAATTGCCAAGTATAAAAACACAGATGAAGTCGAAATCAGGAAGGTATGTTTGTATTAGTTTATTTTTAAATATTCCTCTAAATATTCAAATAAATTTGTTGCCAAGGGTAGTGGCTCACACCTGTAATCCCAGCACCTGGGAGGCTGAGGCAGGAGGATCATTGCAAGTTCAAGACCAGGCTGGGCTACAAAGTGAGCTCAAGAACAGCCTAAACTGCATAGCAAGACCCTGTCTCAAAAAAACAACAAAACAAAAATTACGTCAAATAAATTTGTACTATGTATGTTAAAATTTAAAAAGATGTGCTGGTGGCACATGTCTGTAATCCCACCAATATAGAAGGCTGAAACAGGAGGATCGCAAGATCAAGCTAGCCTGAGAAATGCAGCAATTTGGTGAGATTCTATCTCAAAAAAAAAAAAAAAATAGACAAAAAGATATATATAGAGAGACAGACAAAGACAGGGAGAGTGAGCACAGGGATGTAGCTCAGTGCAAAAACCCCACTTGTGTTCAATCTCCAGACCCACACCCGTAAAAAATGTAAGAAAAGTAACTTGAGTCATTTTTTAGCAGTAAGTCATTTATACATTTTGACTTTTTGAATCTTAAAGACCTTTATTCCACATTGGCATCAGTGGCAATGTCAGTGAAGTTCTACCATAAATTCTGTGAAGGCAGCTCACAATGGAAATTGCACATTTCCCTGGGGAAAGACATTTAAAGGCCATTAGGTATTAACAAACTAAAAAATATATTTATTTCTGACTAGCACTTAAATTGTTATTCAAATATCTTATATATACTTTTATTACATAGCAATACTGTAATTTTGAAATACTATATGCCATACCAGATAATTAAGATATTCTCTTCACAAAAGCCATTATTAACTCAAATTTAGAAGACTGGAATTTTAATTCATGTTTCTACTTATATATATATATATATATATATATATACACACACATTTTTTTTAACCTGGACTCGAACTCATGACCTTGAGCTTGCCAGGCGAGCACTGTGCCACTGAGCTATATCCCCGGTCCCTTGGTATATATTTTTGAGATTTTTTTTTTCTAGTTTTCACTATTATCTAGAGAGAGAAAGTTCTCTAAAACATCAAAATATTCTGACTTTTAATATGCAGTATAACAAAAATATCATTTGTGTGTTTTTAAAGATATGAAAATTAGTGTAATAGAAACACAATGACAAAGACAAGAAATACTGGCTCATGACAAAGAGCATCCTTTCACATTTGCCCTTCATAACTGAATTTCTTGAACAGTTTATAGTCCCTTTCTTCAGTTTCTTCTTAATCCAATTCTTACCACTCCATTGGCCTTTTTATCATTATTAAATCCCATGAAGACGGCTGCTCCTTTTTAATTCTCCAGGGCACATGATAATGGCCTTCCTTTCATACCATGAAAGGTTCTCCTCATACCATGAGCACCTGGATTTCTTTTAACATTTTAACTATTTTTCCCTTATTTCCTTTCCAGTCTCTTTCTACACTGAAACACAAATTTTATTTCCTGTATTTTCTGAACTTACTGTATACAGTATCCTAGGATACCACTTTCAAATGCTATTATTGTTATCACCTATAAGCTAATGACACTCAAATACATGTCTGTAGTACAAATTGTCCTGCTGACTTCCACATCCATGTGCTTACCTTATTTCCAGATAGATCCATTTAGATGTCCACCAGGTACATGAAATTTAGCTATCATTTTATATATACCAGCATTGCTTTATGTTTTCCTTCTCAGTTAATAGGAACCGAAACAGGGACTGTGTGTGCACAAGCCAGAAATGCTACCATTAGGCCAACTTCACTCCAGTCACCTGTGTAACTAACACGACTTCACAATAATGCTGCCTCTGTGACCTCACAATCGTATTGCCTAAGGAAAGCCATAGGCCCTAGAGTCAATTTTGAATAGTAACAACTCTCTCCTTGTGCAGATTTCAGCAAGTTACACTAAAAAATCTAAACCATAGTTCCTCTTCTGAAAATGGGAAAAAAAATATGTATCTCAAAATAATATTATATAGCTTAAAAGAGATAATGCAGTTAAACAACTTAGCTCAGTGACAATTATGTGGTAAATATTCAGTAAGTGGAAGTTAGAACTGAAGTTATTATTTTGCAATATTTGAAACAAGCTTTCCCAGTAATCAATCTACTGCCATGACCTATCCAACTATAACATAATTCTAATTTCCCACTGGCCATTAAGGTATTATAGATCTGTGAAATATTTCTATGAAATAGAGAAATTATAAACTAATAAGTATGTCTAATCAAAATCCTGGATTTAAAAAAATAAAACAGCAGTTAATTTTAAAATAAAAGGAAATTATACAAATATATAAAATTAAATGATGAGAACACAGTTCTTAAAATAGAAGTTTATTTTAAAATTAGAAAAATGAGTAATTCTCTGCAGAAATATAGTTTGCATAAGTTATTTCACTAGTGCATTAAAAAGAATCTTATGAAAATAGATCTTTTTCTTTGGGGAAAAAAAAATAAGTTACTAGGCAAGTACCCCACAAAGCATGCGATTATTTCAAGAGAATTTCTACCATAGATTCAAAACCTGGATAATCTCAATACTTTAAAACTGAGGGGCAAACCACTTTCTGAGCTTTCCTTTCTCTCAATAAATTCTTCCTACTGTTAAAAAAAAAAATTGAAATCTGAGAACACTATAAGTAAAGGAAAACTGCATGAATATTAACATAACACTGACAGCTAAATCTGATAACAATAAAAAACAGAAAAATTTGAGACTTTCAGGTTAGAATATCAGTTATAAAAAATGAAGTAACTCTTCTAAATAAAGTATCCAGCTCCACATGGCAAAAAAATGATATGATGAACTAGCAGGATTTATTCCAAGAACACAAAGCCAATTTCACTAGTAAAGAATCTGCAAGTATAATATAGTATTTCACAAAAAGAAAAATTATCTCCAAGACTGAAAATGACTAATAAAAACTGAATAATTTTGTTTTAAAAAAGAATTCAAGAAAGTAGGTATCTTAACATAATTATACATCCAACTTTCCTCCTAAATCTACAATGTAATAGGGAAAATGTCAAGGTTTTCTCATCCAAGTAAGAAATAAAACAAGAATGCCTACTATCTATGTTAAACTAAAAGTATGAAGTAAGCCAATCAAATAACAACATAAAAATAGAAAAGGAGGAGCAAGCACTACCACATATTCCTATCTGGGAATCCATGCACAATTAACTCAAACATCAAAAGCATTCATTAAAGTAGGAAGATACACATTTACCAACAGCATTCATACGTAAAAATAACCATTTAGAAAATATGATGATGGAGAAAATACTATTTTTCACTGTAACAAAGATATTTCAAAATAAATTTAGCAAGAAATATGAGGATAACTCCAACAAAACACTCTTGAAACACGAAAGTAGACCTAAAGAACATAGTTTAAATGAATTGGAAAACTAAAAATGATAAAGAATCCATTCTCCTTTAGGTTAATTTTTAGGCATAAATAATCCCAATAAAGGTATCCATAAGCTTTTCATATAGAGTTTAGATAAATGGACATTTAATGTCAAATGGAAAAAGCAAAGCTGCAAAAACAGGAAGACACTAAAAACAGAAAAGCAATAAAGGGAATACTGGCCCCACATGACAATATACGAAATTCAACTGGACCAAAACATACTACTATTCTCATTAAAAATACATTCTATTAAAATATACTATAAAGTATCTTCAAATAAAATAATATTGTACTCAGTATCACAAAAAACAAACCAACAGAATATCACAGAAAGCCCAAAAAGATTAAACTATGTGGGAGGCAAGTAACTTAATTTCACACCAAATACAAAAATAAACTCCATATAGGATGGAGGCTCTAAATGTTTGAAAAGAGAACATTAAGTACTAGACAAAAGCATTGAGGGAGTTCTTCTTTATGTTGGGTATAAGAAGAGCTTCCTAACTATGATTCCAGGTGCAATAAAAGAACAGGCTCACGTGACTCTAGAATATCTAACCCCTTTTTGTCCGTGAAAACTTACCTAAAGAAGTCTAACAGAAACTGGGGGAGAAAAAGAGATGTGCAGTAAGTCTCACAATAAGGACCAATGTTCTTAACACAGAAAGAACATGTACAACTGTGAAAAAGGATTGAGAAGTTTAAAAAATTACCAAAGAGGCAAAAGATACAAAAGACAACTTACAAAAAATATATAAATGGCCTTTAAATTTATGAAGACAAAGCCAAATATATGTATTCGTTGTGGTAAAGGAACATAAGGATATAGCTAGCCAACACTAATGAAAGGACTGGTGGGAGATGGGAGGAAACGAGTTAAAAAGCAGAAGACATGGACAGCAGGAATATTTTTTCTCTGAGTACAGTTTTTTACATGGTTCTGGACTTTTGCAGCTACATTAATGTTTCACATATTGAATAAAAGAAAAATAGAATCTCTAAGAGGAAAAGAGAAATTAAATCTTAAGAAAGAACACAAACGAACTCAACCATACAAAGAACAACTAAGGCCCATGAGAAGGGGAGAGACGGGAGTAAGAACTAACCCAAGTTGCATTGGGAAATACAGCAGTATTCTGACAATATGGCCTCAGTGTCACAACACAAGAATCCTAAATAAATACTGAGAAAAAGAAGAAAAAGAAGAGGAAGGAAAAAGAGGAGTAAGAAGAAGAATACGGAGCAGGAAACGTGAAAAAATGTAAGCCTTTTAAGAAAATGGGTGAAGGGTAAATGTGACGTATTTGTCTACTTCTTACATCTTTCTCTTCAAATGGGAAATTACATCTGAATGAAAGCCAGTCTAGAAAATAAAGTAAGAAGGAGGAGACATAAATAATTCTATAAAAATTTAGTATTAAACAAAACACAGAAAATACTCTGGAAATTCATGAGAACTGCTTCTCTCAGAAATTAATTTTATGCCATCAAAACTGAGCTTGGAAAATTTTGCTAGCTAATTAGGGTTGTGAGCAGAAAGGCTCTAAGTAGTATTAAAATAGTATCACTGTGACATCCATGCAAAATACTACTTTACTTTTATTTTTATTTTTTTAGACAGGGTCTCACTATGTAGTTTAGACTGGTTTTGAACTCATTTTGTAACCCAGGCTGGCCTTGAACTCATAGGGATCTCCTGCCTCAGCCTCCCAAGTGCTGGGATTATAAGCATACACCACCACATCCTACTATACATACTTTGAAAGGAAGGTAACAAAATTTCCTAATTGACTGGATCAAAAATCAAAGGAAGAAGAATAATCAAGAGTGCTTCCAAGTGTTTAGCTTAAGTAACTGGGATAGTTTTTTTTTTTTTGGTACCAGGAATCGAACTCAGGACCTCGCACTTGCCAGGCAGGCGCTTGTGCCACTGACCTATATCCTTTAGCTTAAGTAAATAGAAGGATGAGGTGCCCAATAACTATAAAGAAAAGATGGCTGGTAGAAAATGTGATGGACAGAAAGAAAGAGTTGTGATGTGGACTTTGCAATCTTTTCTTCCCAACTATACACATGGAATCTTAAAACTATCCTATAACAGAAGGAGCATCATACTGTATTTGCTTAAGATACAGCATACGAATAGCATAGAAGCAATGATAAAAATTTTCTTTCACAAACAAGTCAGCAACCTACCAG